AAAATTCCACCCAAAAACACAAAAATTCCACCCAAAAATGAGAAAATTTCACCCAAAAATGAGAAAATTTCACCCAGAAAAGTCCCAAACCCACTCAAGTTTTCCATCAGCTCCCCTAAAAAACGGGAATTCGGGGAAATTTGGGAATTTGGGAATGGCCAGAGACACCCAGGGGGTCACTGGGATGGGCAGGGAGGAAAAAATCCCAAAAAACCCCGAGAGAAATGAGCCAAAAATGAGAAAATTCCACCCAAAACCACAAAAATTCCACCCAAAAATGAGAAAATTTCACCCAGAAAGGTCCCAAACCCACTCAAGTTTTCCATCAGCTCCCCTAAAAAACGGGAATTTGGGAAAATTTGGGAATTTGGGAATGGTCAGAGACACCCACGGGGTCACTGGGATGGGCAGGGAGGAAAAAATCCCAAAAAACCCCGAGAGAAATGAGCCAAAAATGAGAAAATTCCACCCAAAAATGTGAAAATTTTACCCTAAAGATGCTCAGAATATTCCCAAATTTCTCAAAAATTGGGAATTTTGGGGAAATTTGGGAATTTGGGAATGGCCAGAGACACCCAGGGGGTCACTAGGATGGGCAGGGAGGAAAAAATCCCAAAAAACCCCGAGAGAAATGAGCCAAAAATGAGAAAATTCCACCCAAAAATGAGAAAATTCCACTCTAAAGGTCCTCAGAATATTCCCAAATTTCCTAAAAATTGGGAATTTTGGGAAATTTGGGAATGGTCAGAGACACCCACGGGGTCACTGGGATGGGCAGGGAGGAAAAAATCCCAAAAAACCCCGTGAGAAATGAACCAAAAATGAGAAAATTCCACCCAGAAAAATCCCCAAAAATTGAGAAAATTCCACAAAAATTCCACTCAGAAAATCCCAAAAAATGCAAAAATTCCACCCAGAAAATCCCAAACCCAAGGGGATTTTCAATGCAGAAAATCAGGAATTTTGGGAATATTTTGGGTGAAACTTTTAGGAATTTTTGGGAAGTTTTTGGGATTTTTTGAGGGGATTTTTGGGGAACGTTTTGGGAATTTCTTAGGAATTTTGGGAATTTTTGGGGGGTTTTTTTAGGACTTTTTGGGGATATTTTGGGGATTTTTGGGGGTTTTTTGGGGAATTTCTGGGAAATTTGGGGGGGAATTTTTAGGGATTTTTGGGAATTTTTGGGATTTTTTTAAAGAATTTTTCATGAATTTTTTAGGGAATTTTTGGGGTTTTTTTGGGGATTTTTTAGGAATTCTTTAGGATGTTTTTAGGAATTTTGGGGGGATTTTTTAAAAAGTTTTTTAGGATTTTTTGAGGAATTTTCTGGGATTTTTTAGGGAATTTTTTAACAATTTTTTAGGATTTTTTTTTGTTTTTTTTTTTTAAATTTTCGGGGAGTTTTTTTTCAATTTTTTAAAGATTGTTTGAGGAATTTTCTGGGATTTTTTTTTGAAAATTTTCAGGAATTTTTCAGGAATGTTTTGGGAAGTTCCAGGTGAGTTTCCAGGACTATTCTGGGATGTCTCACCTGTGGCCAGGTGGGGCAGGTACTGTGCTTTGGATGGTTTGGGGTCAATTTTTGGAAATTTTTTGGGAATTTTTGGGGATGTTTTTGGGATTTTTTTCGGATTTTTTGGGGAATTTTTTGGAAATTTTGGGGGGATTTTTTAGGAATTTTTGGGGATTTTTTAGGAACTTTTGGGGATTTTTCGGAATTTTTTAGGAATTTTTGGGGGGTTTTTTTAAAGAATTTTCAGGGATTTTTTTTTTAATTTTGGGGGAATTTTTTGGGTTTTTTAAAGAATTTTTGGGGAATTTTTTTTCGAACTTTTTTCGGAATTTTTGAGGAATTTTCTGGGATTTTTGGGGGAATTTTCAGGAATTTTTCAGGAATGTTTCAGGAACACCCAGGTGAGTCTCAGGACTATTCTGGGATGTCTCACCTGTGGCCAGGTGAGGCAGGTACTGCGCTCTGGATGCTTTTAGGTGAATTCTGGGTCAATTTTTTGGGATTTTTTTGGAATTTTTTGGGGAAAATTTTCAGGAATTTTTCAGGAACGTTTCAGGAACACCCAGGTGAGTTCCAGGTGAGTATTCTGGGATGTCTCACCTGTGGCCAGGCGGGGCAGGTATTTCTCTTTCTGGGGGTGGCTCCCATAGAGCAGCAGTCCCTTGAAGCCGATGGATTGGTGAGCCCCCAGCGTGATGCCCACGCCCAGGTCGTGCTGGCCCACGATCTGCACCAGCCGGGCATACTGGGGG